CATTTTCCTCTAAAATATGCTTGAATTTTCGTAAAAGTTGGTAAATTTACAAATTTTACAAAGTTACCAAGCACTCCGTGAATTCAAAGTTTTTAAAAGTAAAAAAAATTCACCTGTGTTTTTCCAATTTGCATAGAAAAATTTGATTTTTTTATATTCCTGAACTTTTAATTTGTCATCTATGTAAAAAATTAATTTTAAATGTAACTTTGTGAAAAATAAGAATCTACCAATTCACTCCTGCAGTAAACTTTGTAAATACTTTCTAAATAAAGGTTTATTTCAAAAATTCCGCTCCAATTTTGATAATTAATTTTATATTTACTTAATTTTTCGATTAATTAGTTGCGTTATAAATCACATTTATAAATCACATTCACTCGAATATTTGTAACCCAGTAAACTTCGTCTCTAACGGTAAACAAAATGAAAAGGGGAAAAAGATAACCTGTTTTCCTAATAAGATTAGCAAAATTTTGATTTCATTTCACTCCCGGAGTTTTAATTTGACAGATAATAATTTTAGACGACGTGATGAATCTAACATAAAATAAGGCATTTCACTTCTGTAGTTTTAACGCAGTAAACTTTGTAGATACATTTTAATAAACAAAGCTTTATTTCAAAGACTTCGCCCCAATTTTGAAAATTAATTTTAGACTTAATTATTCAACCAATTAGTTGCGTATAAATTAATTTACTCCAATATTTGTAACCTAACAAACTCTGATGTAACCTGTTTCACAAATTAAACAAGTAAGATTGGATTTTTTCCAATTTCAAAGTTCTAATTTGACAGGAAAAAAATTATTTTGAACATAAATCTAATAAAATAAATTAAGGCAATATTTGTAACGCAGTAAACTTTGTAAATCAATTTTAAACAAAGTTTTATTTCAAATATTCCACTTCAATTTTGTTTGGTAACCAATTTTATACTTAATTAATAATTAATCAATCAAGCACTTATAACCTATTTTACAAATTAGTGTAGCAAATTTAATTTATTTTTACTTCCAGAGTTTTAATTTGACAGAAAAAAAAGTCATCTTAAACGTAAATCTGGCATAAAATAAAATAAGGCGATTCGCTTCAGTATTTGTAACCCAGTAAACTCCGTAAACTTACAAAGTCTGCAACGATATACATAAAAAAAAATCGAATTGAAATTGACAACCTGAATTACGAATCAGACCAATTAAATCTGATATCTTTTCACTTCCAAAGTTTCCATTTCACAGAAAAAAAATATTTTAGACAAAATTATAACAAAATACAATAAAGATATTCACTTCACTATTTGTAACCCAGTAAACTCTGTAAATTTACAAAGTCTGTAACATGAATTTAAAACATAGTCTAATACATATTCATGGTCTGTAATGACATACATACAAAATTCAAGTGAAAATGATAACCTGTTTTACAAATTTGGCTAATAAAATTAGGTTTCTTTTCCCTTCCGGAGTTTTAATTTGATAGATTGTAGACGAAATCTTACAAAACGAAGTGTTCACTTCAGTACTTGTAATGCAGCAAACTCCGTAATATATTGTGCACAAAGTGTGAAAATTGTACGCTAATGAAGCCTCATCTAATTTACGAATTGTCATACTAAAATCTTACTTTTTTGTAAGAACGGAGTTTTATTTACACATTACAAATTTAGTTTTACATACAAGTACGCAAAATAAATTTCTGAGAGTAACAAGACAAGCAGTCAAATGCGGAGGAGAGGATTAGAATTTTTGAAAAAATAAAAAATATAAATTTTACCGAAATGTATATAAATCCTTAAAGTTTTATCACAATTTTTTAATGTAAGTAAAATGTAGTCTGAAATTTTGAAAATATTATTTCTACTTAATACAGAGAGGATTTGAGTTTTTCAAAAAATGAATGAAAATGGATTTGGAATAGGCTTACAGTAAATTGTTGAGAAGAGTAAATTTTAAAATTCATTTTCAAAAAATGAAAAAGCACAAAGTTTACAAAATGCTAGACTTACACGACAAATCGGCAAATTAAGAGAAATATGATTGACTTTAAAGATTACAAGATTACATTTCGGATTTGTTATAAGCTGGACAGGATTTTTTTTAATGGGTACGAGTCAAAGATTATCGCCCAATTAAAATGAAGTGAATATTACTGATTAAATAATTGAAGTTAAGTATTAATAATTAAAAGATAATCAAGTCAAAGTAAATTTTCTAAGTAACAGAAATGGTGGAAAGTTTCCATTTTTAGAAAATAATTTAAGTCAAGTGTTCTTGGAGAGAATTAAAATCAAGTTATTTTTTAAGTAAAATTCCCATTTTTAAGAAAATAGATAAGTAATTTTTGACCCATGTTTTTCCCCACAACGAACAAATTGCTCTGAACATGAGGTAAAATTCGGAGAAAATTCCCAGTTTTTAAGAAAATACGATAAATAATTTTTGACCCATGTTTTCCCCAAAAAGAACAAATTACTCTGAACATGACGTAAAATAAATAAACGAGCAGGTGGGGGATTTGGTGGTGTGGTGTGTTATTTAGTGAAAACGAGTGTCATGTCCCATTGTCACCCCGAAGAGGACGAGGAGAGGAGACAATTGCTGAGTTATTACTTCCTGCCCAGCAAGGCAACCACTCTTTTCGTCCTGTCCACCTGTCCACATAATTCATCAATGAGAGAAAAGAAAGAAAGAGGAAAATTGAAGAAATTTAAGGGAAAATGTGAATACAGAATTTTAGGAAATATGTACGAAACTTTTTGTTTTTTTGAAGATTTTGAGCAATTTCTTAATTTTTTTAAGAATTTAAAAATAGGAATGAGAAGCCGGGGACATTTAAGGAGAATCAAAAATTTTAGGGAATAATATGGAACTTTTTGGCTGTTTGAAGATTTTGAGGAATATTAACAAATAAATGTTGAGAATTTATAAAAAAAATCGGACCGAAATTGTGGGAAACTTGGTTATTTGAAGATTTTGAGGAACTTTTTTTGTAATTATATGATTTCTTAAATTTTTTGGGAATTTACAAAAAATGAAATATACTCTCATAATCGTTTTCATAAAAAATATGTACTTTTCTATTTTGAAAAAAAATCCACTTCTAAGTACACGATCTCATTTTAAATTATGAATATTTACAAATTATTGATTTGTTAATGGGTTTTTAATCACTCAAAAAATTTAGAAAGTACATTTTTTTTCAAAATTCATGATGGCATTTATCAATCATTACTTACCCAATGGGGTTTTACTCATTCGAAAAATTGAAAAATTTGCAGAGCCATAATGTTCCAAAAATTGGGTGAGGAATTAAATAGCGAATAATTTTGCAATGCGAAAACGAAGTCATGACGAACCATATTATTCAAATTTTAATAGTTATTTTGCTTACCAATTTGGTCATATCAATTTTTGCATTATTTTACCAAACTTTTTACCAAAGTTGGTCATACTTTTTACCAATTCGGTAACAAATTTTTCTCTGTTTTAATAGTCTGCAATTCTTCCTTGTCATAACTTTCCACTACGTAAATTTGTCAACTGTTTACCAATTTGGTCATACTTTTTACCAATTTAGTCATACTTTCTACAAATTTGGTCAAACATTTACCAATTTTGTCTGATTTGGTCATGGTACGAAAATTTGTTTTATGAACAAGTTTCTCTGGTCATATTTAACTTTTATTTCCAAAATTTGATTTTTAAGCGTGTTCGAGTCCCAGACCAGACCACCCTCAACTCGAAAAATGTGTCCGTGTGTGCCACGCCACCCCGCCGAGAGGACATTTTCTTCACAATCTTCACCTCAGGGTTCACTTCTTCTTCTTCTCAGATAACAATTGATGACAATGCAACCCACCCCAACAATGAGACTCGGAGACGCTAATGACATGACACCCGCAGATCCACGTCCCAGCAGAACGAAGCCCAATTATTTCTCATCCAAGGAACCAACGACACCATTCAGCTTTGGGAAAAATTTAAGATTTTATAAAAATTTTAACACATTTTGAGATGGAAATTTGGGATGGAAAACTTTACGAAAAATTTGCGATCTTTTAAGTTAAATTGACTTCTTAACATGATTATTTTTATTTACTAGACTGGGAAAGAACTCATACATACAATAAAATAATATTGAGACAATTTACGCAGTCGTTGGTAACTTTGTAATATGGGTAAATTTTGTAAAATACTTTTACAAATTTTAACAAAATAAGGAGATTCCCTAGATTTTTGAGCTAGTTTACACAAATTTGTAAGCTAATTTTCATCCGAAATAATTTTAAAATTATGTAAAAGTTTGTAAATTTACAAATTTTACAAAGTTACGAGGGCATGCATAAATTGTCTCTACTTATAATTCATCTGTAATTTTTATCCTTAATATTTCCAAACATTTTAGAAATTTGTGGAGGTTAGCGTGTTAAAAGAATCCAAGAGAATTTGGGTATTTCATATTTAGTAGCTTTACAAAATGGAAATATTTACTTGGTAATATAAAACGTAAGATTGTAACGTCGAAAAATACAAATTTTGCAATTTAAAATAATTTGAAAAACCGAAGATACAAGAGGTTCTCCATATGATTATAAGTTGTTCTTAATTATAATTCAAATTTTGTAATTGATTTGCAATTTGGTCCAAACACTTAAAATCACAATCTCATATTTTCCAAAACTTAAAAATGAGACAATTCACGCAGTCTTTGGTAACTTTGTAAATTTACGAGGTTACCAAAGCCTACGTGAATTGCTTCAATATATAAACAATTACAATTTTGGAGGGTTGAAATGATCACAAAATTTGATTTTCACATTATTTTGACTTTCGTTTTGGAAAATGGAATTAAATTTTAAATTTCTGTGTATTTGTAATGTTTCCCAGTTTAAAATATGCGCATTAATGTATTAATTAATTATGTACAATTCATGGGATAACGTTCATTGAGGTTTAATTTTGTCATATTTAAATTGCAAATCGTAACCAATAATTTGTTTAGGGTTGAATTTCAATTTCCTAATAGCAAAATGTACAGTTGTTTACAACGACAATTTTTTAAAGGTAGTTACACAACCCTTATTAAAATTAATTGTGCCCAAACAAACTCGAAATCCGGGAAGGAAAAAATGATAGTTTTGCTTGCTATTCATAAAAATGTAGTGTCCACCTCGGTTGAATTATTCGAGGAGGTCATACACATGTAAATTGTGAATTTTGCTATCATGAATTTTGACCCAAAATTAGGCAACGTTCTTTGCGCAGGGGCTCGTTGGGTGTGACCACGAAATAATAATAAATGTGTCGCCTGTTTTGACTTTATTCTCTTGTTTTTTATGTCACGATATCGCAATTAATTGAAATTATTGGGCGAAGAGGAGACCAATCTGTGGTTTGGTCTGGTATGGTCGTGAAACGCTACCAAGTTTGGTAACTGCTACCGGGTTTGATAAGGAGGCACAAATTAGTGGATTTTTTACAGGATAAACCTACAAAATAGTGACCTTTTTGTGTAATAAATTACGTATCTTTTCGTCTTTAGAGACACCGAACTTGTCGTTGTATCGTCACTCCATTACAAATGCGGGTTGGTCGTATTTTGGTAGGAGTTGATTTTGTGTATAGTGACAAGAGGACACCTCGGACAGGAGGAGAGATTGCCATAAATCTAGTCGTGGCAGAGTGGTGCCATAAATAAGTCAGCGTGGATAACGACGCCGGGTGAAAGGTGGGTGACATTGTTGTGCTTCATTGCTTTGGTAGAGAGAGAGAGGGAGGGACCCAGGGTAAAGGATGGGGTCAAATTTTGGGGGAATTTTGATCATAAAATTTTGGAAAGATTTTGACCATAGAATTTTGGGACAATTTTGACCAGATAACTCATCGCCAAAATCAACGCATTTTTAATACCCTGTGGAAAGGATAGCATCAAATTTTGACAATAAAATCTAAAAATTAGGTACAATTTTGACGATACAATTTTGATACAATTTTGACCAGATGGCCAAAATTAAGACATTTTTAATACCCTGTGTAAACGGTAGCATCATCGAATTTTGACTTGAGATCTGCCCCTTCAAAAAGTGCTAAAATCTGGAGTTTATATTTTTTTATTGGGAACCACCTGCTCGACAAATTTGTAGTTCAGAATTTTTAAAATAAATTCCCAGAGCGGAGAAATGATTAAAAATGGGCGGATTTTGACGATTCCAATGACTCATAATTTGGCATGGGAAGAAATGACCCGTCTGAAATTAATGACATGTGTTGTGCACGGGACAGCTCTGTATTTATGTGACACTACGAGTGGCAAACTAGTTTTGGCTTCTGAAGAAGAAGTGGGAGACAATCAACTCCTTGTTTTTCATGACGTTTTATTTTATCTGCGCATTTTATTTGGTCGATGAGTTAAAGATGGGTAATAAATTGAAGAAGGGGGACATGCATGAAGGGAGGTGATCGAGACATCCAGTATTTTTTTTAGATTAGAAATTTGAAGACGGAAATTTTTGCAAAAAAATGAGGTTATTTTGGGGAAAAATTCAATAACTATTTTGAGAAAGCTGGAAAATTGTATGATTTTGGACTATCGATTTTTACAAATTTATCGATGTTCTTAATTCACTAGATTTTTTTTAAAAGAGATAAGATTTTTGAGTAAAATTTACAAAAATATGTATATTCCCACGTGGTTTGAAGATTTGATAAAAACTAAAATTTATGTACCTAATTCTGAATTGTCTTCAGAAATCCTTATTTTTCTAGTTTACCATTTTTGTATTCTTCTCTATACAATTTTTTTTGTAGAATTTTATTTGCATTCAAAATTTCAAACTATTTTGTCTAAAAATTGTTCGTTTTTTTAAATTTCCTGAATTTTTCAGAATATTATTCCCCATTTTCCTTCAACGTGAGTTCCCCCATCGTGGAAGCCGGTTTACAGAAGCTGATTGATGGAAATTGGCCCGATAAGAATTAAGCGAAGAGACGAAGAAGGAAAGATTTATTCTATTTTATTTTATTGCTCACCAACTATTTAAGCATTTCGGGGGCTTTGCAAAACAAATTATGCAAATTTTTGCATGCCCTCAAAAAACACGAAGTAAATTGTTAATTCAAAATTATTTCCGATATGAAAATAAATAATCTCCGAAATTCGGTGACACATTTTCTGCCTGGTCCACACGCCCGCTATTCTTCTTTTTATCCCATGGGACGATTCAGGGTGGAATTGGTGATTAATCTTTGTCAAGAAGATAATTATTTATCGGAGGGATGACATCGTCCATCAATTATCCACCACCACCGACATGAGACGTTTCTTAATTAACTATTTTCGCGTAACGGTGTAATGACGGCGTAGGCGAGTAATAAAATGGAAATAAATTCAAGTATGTGTTGTAACCTTTGTAAAATTACAATTGACACAAAACTAAATTTTTTATGTGTAAATAAAACTCTGTACTTACAAAAAATGAAATTTGATATATTAAAAAGTAAATTAGATGTTAATGTGAGTGAACCCTTTGTAAATATTGTAATATTACACTTTGTAATATTACAATACAATTTGTAGTATTACGAAGTTTACTGGGTTACAAGTACTGAAATGAATTAACGATTTTCGCGTAACGGTGTAATAAAGGCGAAGGCGAGTAATAAAATGGAAATAAATTCGAGTATTTGTTGTAAAATTGTGTATCCTAGAGTTTACGATGTCCAGATTTTCTAAATTTTGTAATCTTTACAAAGTGTTTCATTTCTTTGCTGGTTTACAATTTCTGGCAATGGACAGCAAGAAATGCGAGGTGCAAAAAAACTGAAAGAAAGTACACAAAACTGCAAAAAAAGTTTCAATAAACTGCAAGAAGCTATAAGCAAAAAGCGCCATCCAGCCACGTGGCGTACGAAGAATGACTTATTTTTTTGCGCTTTACATTTCTTGCAGGTGAAAATGCCTGCAAAAAACCACTTTCTGGCCGTTATTTCTTGCAATTGGTTACTTACTTTCAGCCGAAATACTGCTTGCGAAATTGTAGAAAAGTTTGTAACTTTAAGAGACAAAATAATTTGGAGTCTTTTTATGATCAATTTTTCAAGATTCAAATTATTTATGATACTTTGTAAACAACTTGTGCCCTTTTAACAGTACCAAAATTAGTATGATTTCTATAATTGATTTGCATGATTGATTTGAAAAAAATTGAAATCTTTTACTAAATTAAATTTATCCATACAGGAGTGCCTGATCTGATCTAGATTTCATATAATGAAGAATTTTGTGTAAATTTTTATTTAGACGTCGCAATTGTGAATTTCGGGAGAGTTTTATTTATATTTTTATATTTTTTCGTGATAAATTAATCAGTTTCGGAAACTTACTAAATGTAATTTCCGAGCATAATAAGAATGGTCGAAAAGATTATATTCGATTACAAATCAATAAACCAAAGCTGTGAGATTCTGATTAATTTTAGCACTAGATTTTATTGTCTTCGAGCAACGAAAATATTTCATTAAGTCAATTGTATCCGAGTTTTTTTTGTGATTTCAAGTTTCTTGAGAAATGGGAAAATATTCGGGTACAAATAATCCAATATGATTGTGTATTTGGAAGCGATAATTATTTTACGAAAAATAATCTATGCAGAATTTTGACCAATCAGGAATCGATTATAATCCACACAATACTTGCTAATTTTCGGTTAAGATTTGAAACTATACAAACCGAAGAAGGAGGATGCTTGTTTGGTAACCGGGTAATTAAAATTGTGCAAATTTACATCATAATTTCTAAATAATTTCTAAATATTTCATAATTTCTAAATATTTCATAATTTCTAAATTTCTAATACAATCAATATGAAGGACAAGTATTGAAAAAAATTTGTACCGTGTTTTTGTACAAATTTTAAAAGTTTTAAAAAGCAAGGTCTTTCCGTCCAGCGTTATTTGGGATACAAAATCTTTTTAGTGTTTTTCATTTTTGTAAATTTATAATATTACGCGAAATGGCGTCCAGACTTACATAAAAGATCATAAATATTTAAGTAAACTGAAATTTTATTTTCCCAAAAATATATCGCTTGTTTAAAAAATTGTCAAGGATATTAATAGGTTACAAATATATGAGTGAATCGTGATTTAGCAATAATTTGCATACTAGCGAAAAAAATATTTAATGTAATAAAAAAAATTGCCATCATTTGCAAACTAGTGAAAAACAAATTCCAATGCCTAAACTACATCCGATTAAAAATTGCCGCATTTCCGAACCTTTTTTAAAACTGTTTCCCAAATAAAATCGAGATGAATTTCTTTCAAAATTTAAACTTCGTGTCTAAAATTGATTTGATTTTAAATCATTCGAGATTTAATGTATGTTAACAAAATTGGCAATCATTTGCATACTAGCAAAAGTTTTTCTAATACCCAATCGATAAATAATTACCGCGAATTCTGTATGCATCCATTATTGTTTCATCGTATTTAATTGTTCTCTTTTATGCCGGCATCGTTAAAACTCTGTGAAGATGAAGATTGGAATGCGAGATTTGACGATGAAGTGGCATCCCTGCGTAATGGGTAAGTTTTGTCCCACCAGATTTATCGAGTGATTAATTCCCCTATCTTTTAATGACTCGTGGGGAGTAATGGCAGGAGGGACAAGTCATGATCAGAGGGCGGTTATGCATTCCAGAAAAATCACTGAAATGTGTATATTTAATATTTACGGGACAACGATCAAAATATTTACGAAATATGCACAAAAAAAATTAGAATTTCGCAAAATTTGTATTTTTGACTTTATGTATTTAGTATTTACGTAAGAAAAAACAAATATACGAACCTTCGCAAAATCTATATTTTTGAATTATTGAATTAAATACGAAAAATACACAAAAATACCCAAAATTTGTATTTTTGAATATAACGCTCTGGATTTTTTTTTGAATCGAGTTTCATTGCTCAAGAAAAAATTATCTTTGAAATTTTAACAAAATATATTTTATTTTTAGAAAAATATGTATGTAAGGTATTTTCTAATAGTAGCGGAAATATTGATGTCTGAAACCCAGAATATGCAACAATTCATAAAAATAATTGTAATTGTTTTATGATCCATGTGAGTTAGGGGACACACACTCTTAATAATCCGGTAAGGTCACGCAGGTAATGATTTCTCGGTAATAAATTTGGTAATAATATTTTACAAGGTAGTAAAAAAAATCATTATCATGATGGTAAAACTTTATTACCAAGACAATACCACACGGTACAACTTATCATTACCACTTTGGTAGAATCATATACTTGTGCTTTTCAGTAATGTTTATTACCAGATTATTTACAGTGCACTCACAAAGTTTGACTGTCGGTCGGTATCAAAGCAGAAAGTTGAAGCTAAATACATATCCACACTCTGGTCACCTGACAGGTACGTAAACTTGTCCGTAACATCTCTCCTGCACGGGGCCCATGAAAGAAATACGAGAAGGACGTGAAACTATGCGGACCGGTGATGAAATGAAATGACGAAACGATAGACAAGGAAACGGGATAAGTGACAAGATCATGACCACGTAAGAAATGAGACACTCACATTATTTACATATATTCTAGGTTGAGGGACCATGCATTAAGGATCCCTTTTGAAGTGCCCTTGACCCTGGAATCGATATCCTTCTTTATGCAGGGTCCTGATTGGACTGCATTAATTTTAAAATTTCGATTTCGTCACGTTATTTGATACAGTTTGGAACATTTCACGTCAACCTTTATAAGTTCGTAACCAAGTAAGTTTACGAAGATCAGCTTACTAACCAAAAATATGCCTTTTTATGTATTAATATCTTCGTTATATGGTTTTGTAAGTTCGCAAGCAAATATTACCTTCGAGATGTTCCGAAGTTTCGCCAAAAGTTCGTAAATTTTATAAATTTACGGAGTTACGAAATCTGATGTCTGTTATCTAAATACCTTGACAATTTTGACGTGTGAATAAATTTTAGTGTAACTTTACATCCGTTAATTAATCTGGAGTAAGACATGCTTCACTATAAAATTTGTAGATACGTAATCTAATCCCTTCTTTTGTAGTTTGTAGGTTTACGTATATAGTTACGGAATTACGAAAACTGACGAAATGTCTCATTGTTTTCGAAATCTTCTCTGTTTTCATAATTTTGAAAAAAGTGTCAATAAATAAAGAAATAAATTGGATCCTGCTCCATTTTCACGCTTACAATATTACTTATTGCACATGTCTCATTGTTTTTTTGAAATTGTATTTTCATAATTTTGAAAACAGTGTCAATAAATAAAGAAATAAATTGGATCCTACTCCATTTCCACTCTTACTACATTACTTATGAAAAACGGACATTTCTCATTGTGTTTCGAAATTTGTATTTTCACAATTTAAAAAAAATGTCACTTCATAAATGCATAAATTGGATCCGACTCCATTTTCACTCTTACCACATAATTATTATGCAGAACAGGAGAAGAAAGGCTTTCATTTCATTAGATTCCTTCTGTCCGTCCGTCTGGGGCTGTTTGAGTGACGGGGATGAGAAAGAGGTATTTTTCCCGTGAGTGATGTGATGACGAGGTGTAGATTGAGGGATGAGATTACCTTTGTCGGTGGTCTGGTCTGGTCTGGACTGGTCGGGCAGAAGGAAACGCGACTGACGGGCACGTCGACGTTGGACGTGACACTTCATCTCGAGAGAGAAAAAGAGATGTGGTCCTCCGCCCTTAAATCCGATCCTCAGTCAGTCAGTCAGTCATGCTCTTAAAAGCTCGTCCGATTCAGAGTAAGCGTCCGCGTCCGCCCCTTCGAGGTTTTCGATTTATTATGATAGAAAAATTTTTAATGGGTTAATTGTGAGATGAGGAAAAAGGTGGAAGGGATGAAGTGTGGGAGAAATGCAGGAATTGTGTGGAAGGAAATGCAAAGTGCCTGAATTGCGTGAAAATTTGCATTAATTATTAAGAAATTAATAAATATTGTGGAAGAATAAGTGCCCGGATTATGTGAAAGTTGGAGGCATGAATTTGCATAAATTCATAAATTGTGTTAAATGTGAGGGAAATATGGGCGAGAATATTATGAAAATTAAATGCGAGAAATTCACGAATTGTGTGAAATTCAAGGAAAAA